TTTTTTTTTTTTTTTTTTTAAACAAATGATGGTGTAACATTTTGACATCCATAAGGACAAATGTAGATATTTTTCTAAAAAACTGTGAGGGACTGACAGCTTAGTCAGGGTGTATTGTAGCTTATAAACATGAAATCTTATAAACATAAGGTTTCAGTTTGACAGACGTGTGATATATGTAACTTGTGCCATGGACCAAATGGTCACTTTACCCCAGCTAAAAATGAGTTACGATAGCAGCTTGATGGTGATTCTATTGTATTCTTTTAAGCAAAAGGAGACATTTAATATTCCAAATATTTTTAGCCCAAATACCGTGACACATTGAGGATTTTTTAAAAACCAGACTGTGCTGTCCTTCATATGTGAAGTTGACACTACTGATTTGTCAGTACCAAATGTTGGGTTAAAGTATTTAACTTTTATTTATTTATTTTTCTGTTGCATCAAAAAATGATTGCATCCTGACTTTTATGACCTACCAAATTTAAGATGTGTATACATTTGTTATTTACATTGTTCTAGAAAAGAGGTTAATGTTGTAGTGACCTTGCTCACTTACACCAGAGAAATAAACGCCTTTCAATGGAAGAGGATTTTAGTGCTTTTTTCCTAAAATAGACATTAAGCTGCTGTTGTAAGGTATTAATGTTTGCAGCTCTTTAGACTATCTAGAGACATTTTTTATTTATGACTATTTATACAAAAAAGGAATTCTGTCAAAGTGACCACTCTACATCACTTGAGAATGGCATTATTTAATTAAAGAACAAATAGCATTTTTTGGTAGTGCCTGTCCATACCTATTGTCAGTGTTTGCCTTGTAAACTGTTTTTTTAAAAAAATTCACTTTGGAGTGATGGTTTTGTCCAAGGTCTTGGATGAGGAGCACTTTAAAACAAACTGGTTTGGTGTTTTTAAGTTAATCACATGTTTAATAAATATATGGTTTTTGCATTCAAACGTATCATATAATACATTGTATTTTTTACATTGTTGATATTCTGTCTGATCTTTATCAAGTGCTATTAGTATTCTTCATTGCTTTGATTTTGTTTGTATATTTGGACCGCCTAGTGAATACACAAATGAGTCATATTTTTAGTTTTGTTGCCTATGAGCTTAGAATAGTGTGGCCTGTTTCACTTTAAATTTCTCTTGTAGGTTTATGTGGGAAGTTTTTTTAAACAGTTAATATTTGGTATTTACTTCACTAAAATAAATCTGTAATTGTAAGTTTAAAATGGGCACAATCTAAATACATTAATATGCATTTAGATAAACTGTATGCTGCTTAAAAGTATTTGTGATTTTAAGTAGCACACAGGTCATTAGGCTAGATTAAGTGGAATTTTTCCATTCGTATGTTGTACTTCATATGTTGAATTTGAGAAAAGTTTAATAATGTAGTAAGTTTCATGTTGAGTGAGTAATCAGACTTTTTCCTTTTTTTTGTGGTAGTAAGAATTTGCATAGTGACTAGATAATGAAAGTCAAGGTGCTACTGATAGGGAGTTTTTCAGGTAGGTACTTTTTTTGAACCAGTAGGTTTATAATGAAAATACTATAACAAGCTTTTGAACTCATAGGAAACAAATCCATTTTTTTATTGCTTTATCCAAAAAGATGAGTTCCTGAACAGTTTTCTGTAAATATTTTTTAAAATAAAATGCTATCATTTCTGGTTTGTATCATTTTTTCCCCCTTGAAACAGGTGCTTTGAACAGGTGTGCCATATTCCTAAGTATGGCTTTTATTGTTACTGGGACCTGCTTTTTCCCTTAGGAACCAACACATTTGTGAAATCATTTTTTGGGAGGAGTATAAATGTATCTTGAATTATGTCTAGGTTTTGATTAGTGAATTGATAGCATGAAGCAATCGATAAAGCTTTAGTGAACCTTGCATTTTGAGGAGCCCTGTGTATGTTCAAGTGTGCCTGACTTTTCTGAATTTTAAGAAAAAGATAAGCCAAATAAGAACAATCCTGTAAGAATTTTAGCTTGTCATAACTTTCTCTAATGTATAGGTAGTGGTTGTTCCTTTTTTGCTTTGTCTAGCTAGGCCTTGGGGTTATCGAGAAATTTGGAGACTGTTGGTATGTCATTGATCTTCTAACCAAAGCCAGTGCTTGCTTTTCTTTTCAAGTGCCTGATTTCCGTTGTGTGGGAATCCAGGCCTCCATGGTTAAAGTGACTTTGATGAGAATTGTTTTATAATTGGACTATTTTTGAATTCTCTTACATTACATTGAATTTATTGTATTACCTTCGATCAGGACAAGTTGAGAAATGGATGTTGTCACTTGAGCTTAAATTCTAAAGCAGGAGATAAAGTATCTTCATTTGATAGTCACCATGGAACCTTTAACCCTGAATTGTAGTTTTTCACTGTGTATTATTACACTTAGTATTTAGAAATCACCATTAAGATCTCAGGAAATATATCTTTGTAATATATTAATATTATACTGCTGTTAACACTAATTCCACATACATTATTATATCATTAATTTGGACTGTACCAATTCTTCACTTCTTTTATTAAATGAAGTGCCTCCATGCCTGTCCTTTGAGCCTTGCTATTGCCACTTGGTACAGAGGGAGTGTTCTGGCCTGAAAGAAAGCCTGGTTAGACTGCAGGAGATCCTTCCAGGAGGTCGTCTTTTAGTAGCCCAGGTGGGGCAAGGAAGTTGTAGCTGGTAGATAGGGTTTCCTTTTCATGTTTTTCCAGGTCCCCGGTTCTCCTTTCTTTCAATTCATACTGAATTTGTAAATTAAAAAAATTTTAGAAAAACTTTAGTTTTCTTTTTATTAAAGTAATTCATGTACATAGTTTAAAAAACCAAGTAGAACTAGAAGGCTTATAAAAAAAAAAAA